CTAATTTTTCGTTTATAGTACAATATTCAGATAAAGAATATATTTTTCGTATGTTTTTGATAAATATTTCAAAAACATTTCTAATAAGTGCAAGTCTAGCCGTCATCTTTCGCTCTGCTCGTAAATTTATGTCATCTGACCTAATACACCTCAACAGGAAGTGGAATCGGTTGATAGATATTGTTATTTGAAAAACAGTTATTCCGCTTCCGTCAGCTGACCACAAATCTTTGCTCTGAGAAATGCTGCTACTACAGCGCAATGTGATGAAAAACAACGCCTTCAATTCAGCTACGTTTGTCTCATATGCATCATATTCTCTAGAGAATTTGTTTCTTATTGATAAAATGTAAATGTTTGCTGATTTCACCAAATCTTCCATTATTTATTCATCAAAAATTTACAATATACACTCAGTTGGATTTTTCAAATTTCTAAAGCCTTTCTTGACACCAGGTAAATGTGTCACTATATTGTGCGGCCGTGTTCGAAAGTTTTTCGAGGGTAATTTTTTACTTCAAATTATTCCATCTTTTCAAACATAAAAATCATCTGATGTCAAAGACGATATGCTCCTTAAATCATGTGAATCATAATATTACAGGTCAGAATCAGTTTCGTGAGCTCTTTCAGAAATATTAACGCACTCAGAATCGGAATTTTCAATTTTGCTATGAATTTCAACACTAGCGAGAAGAACCTGCAGTCGTTACTGTTCTCGCTCGTACGCATTCATCTCAATGAATGTCTCCATAGAAGTGAAATGTTAGTACACGCGCGGGGTAGATACAATCCCATTGCACAGTCATTCCACGAAAACACAAAATTCCAAGGACACGTGAAAAATTCCTCTGGACGACCCCTTCCTAACCTTGATCTTGAAAGGTACATGAAGTACTACAAAGGTCACGTACGATCTTCCCTTAAAAAATAAGGGAAGACTATACGTGGGGTGGATTTTACCCCAGCGGGTGTGCTGACGGGTTAATCTAATATTTGATACATTCTGGCCGTATTATCCTTACTGAAACTTCAGATTACTGAAATTCCTGCCATTTATTTCGTAAAATTAGTAATTAAAATAATTATTATTTCTTCTTTTCTTTTAGAGATTTTACTATTTTTGAGGAAAACATTTTTTGCGAATTGACTTCAAATAACAACAAGAAATTTTCCTCAATAAAATTTCAGAATACATTTTTTGAATGTGATTGGATTTAATACTCCTTTTAATGTATTTAAACAAAAAATCATGCATTGAAGAGATATTATCGTCAATATAAAAGAAAAAAAAATGAAATCCGTTTCATTTTGGCTTTCTTCTAAATGTCACCTATATTTTGATTAAATATTTATCTTATTTTCTAGCTTCAATTACTAAATAATTAACTACTAAAGCTGTCATAATAAAATCCTTTAAAAATCTATAACCCTGGAAAACTTCATTTTCACGTCTTCCTTTTTCAAATTTTCTAGTTTCCTTTTTATGTATAATAGAATGATCAAACCGTTATTATACTTGGAGAAAAGTGTAAAGTTCACGAAATACTGTGCATTTGTATTTTTGTTTCTTTTGCTGCACAATGCATTGAAATTCACTGATTTGTAACCTGACTGATTTAACGTCTATTCAAGTTAGCAGGATTAATGCTTTTTGAACTGATATTTCCAATTAAAAAGAAAAAATGTTCTTTTGTTACAAGTTACCTCTGTCTGCTATCTTAATTCACATAAAATTATCCAATTCCTGCATTTTACAGTTCTATATTCGCTATCGAGGAAATAAATAATGTGCTGATAATATTACAGAATTTATCGAAAATTCCAGAGTACATCTTTTCAATTTTAACATTTTTATTTCGTTTTTCTTTTCCAGATGATAAAAGTAAATTAACTACCTTCTGTTTCTGGATTTAACTGTAATATCTTCGGATAATATCATAGTATTTTCACTGCGATAATTTAAAAATCTTTCTCGCCCTGAAATCTCTTGATGTTTTTTTATTCCTGCCCATCTTCCTTTTAAATCTTGTTTGGGATGAGGAATTGTGTAAAACAGATTTATTACTAATTTTATTTTCAATGTAGAATTTTTAGTTTACTTCTTTTAGGTAAATGCTGAATGATTTGTTGCTGACGGCAGAACGTGACACAGCTCTTCATTGGAGAATCCAAAGCATCGTTATGAATATGCGTAAAACAGAGCTTTAAAACGTACTGAGTATGTGACATGGATATTTGCAGTATTTGTTCACACGAAGGTTGCTCAAGTCAAGATTCATCTGATAATAAAATATAGGGAAGGAATGATTTTGTTCCGCAAAGACACATGGCTTGCTTCGATGCTTAGACGAAGGTATTTAGTTCTACCCTCGATAGTCGGTTTTTCCGCTTGTCCCACGATACAATGTTTTACAGACATTTGAGATCTATTTAGACAAATTCATGCAATAAATCTACTAAGTGAATACGTAAAAGAATATCATGCCTCATGCAACCAAAGAAGAGCATTCATTTCACGTAAAAATAATACATGAGATAATAGCATAAGACCAGAAAGAATGTAAACGTATTTACGGGAAATAGTATAATGAAAAGGGAAGAAGGATAACAATCAACTGTACAAACTTACATTTATTAAATCACAGTAAGTTATTAGAATTGCTCACAGTAAGTTATTAGAATTTGCATTTTTTTAAGTAATACAAGTTTGTCAAAATAAGTAATTCTGATACACTCTGTCATGCATGCTGAACATAGTGACAGTATTCAAAGTGACAAAAAATTTAATTTTACAGTTCGGAATCCAGGATTGTAGATCTGGTAAACACTCCAGGATTGTAGATCTCTCCTGCTAAAGGCTGGAGAGAGTGAAGTCCAGATATGAGTGTTACGAAAAGGTACCTCACCTATTTTATGTGCTAGAGCGAAACCCGGTATTCGATGCATGTGGTTAACATACATGTTCAAGAGGCTGATTCCTAGAAATCGTGCCTTCGGAGTCTTCAACAAGGATGGGACTGGAATTCTAAAGACTGCGCTTAAATTTAAGTAATTCAAAACAGTTGGAAAGATATTGACATACAATAGTCAAAAAACAGACAGCGATTTTCAGACCATGAACGTGTAATGAAACCAATACATACCAACATATAACAACAAGTTCATTAATCATTGTACGGTTTTAATGAAACTCCCTTATGTGGAAGTTTACAGCCTTTCTCTCTAAATGAAATTGAATTGAAATATTTTGTAACTTTAGATAAAAAATTTGCAAACACTTGATTTCTATAATTTTTCAAATAAAAGGGAATCTGATGACCTGATGTATTAAGTAATCTGTATTAAGTACAAGTTTTAAGGCATAAAAACAATTTGGTAATTTCTAAGCATAGCTAATGTTTTTTTCTGAAACATATAACTTTCTTGTGATGAAATGATTCTGATAGAAACACGTATCTTTAAAAGTTTGAAGTTAGTAGTTTCTAAAATAATGTTCATATAATTTGATACTGAATTTTTTTATATATAGTTTTTATATATAATTTTTTATATATAATTGAAGCTTAAAAGCTTTGCATTACTCTAGAGTCTCTAGAATGTCTGTCTAATTTCTCTCTTATGAAATAAATGTCCTGCCTTGGGCAAAATGTCACAAATTTTGATAAATAAAGTATATTAAATATTCATTTCGAAAAGCAATTAATGACAACGTAAGTTGCACAAATACTAATTAACTTATTTCATTTTATGCGATTTCATTAATCCATGTTGATATATTCAATGCTATCGCATTCCAAATAATTTATGATGCAGCATTTAAGATAAAAGATGTAATTATGTTGCAAAATTGAAATTCATTATTCTCACAAATAATTTAAAACTAATTGGCACAGAATGAATAGAATCAATATACTGAAAATAGTGCAAGCAATAGTCGCATGTACTCATAATTGCATGATTTATTAATTAACACACCCTTAGTTTCCAGAGCAAACGAATACATTTGAATCTTTAAATGCTGTCTTTTACAGCATGCAGAATGGAATTTCAAATAACATCTAAACCTTCATTTGGTAATTTGTATTGATAAGCATCAGAAAGCAGAACCAAATTACCGTTAATTTATAATAAAATAAATAAGCTTTAACCTTTCAAAATCCCATTGCTTGAGTTTCCAAGATTGAATTCGTTTCGAAAAGTTTCATTCTAGCGTGATTAAGAAATCTATTTCCAATTAGATGGGAAAACGAACAGCCCAGAAATTTTCAAAATGAATTATTTAAAGGACAAACATGACGCCACCCTTCACTAATTGCTTCCGCCGGTAGTCCAATCCATTAGATATAAGTCGGAAGTGGCTGAATTGTTTTACAGGAAAGTCACGTCAAGGGGGTTTTGTTCAGTCGTAATTGAATATTCCGTCCCGGCGCATTTATTGCGCAGAAAATAAACGCTGTGATAGAGTAATTAATTATTCAGATCGGTTTCTTATTTGATATTTTAAGAAATGTTAGAAATTCTTCTCTTTGATTCTTCAAATCATGCCGATCTACATATTCAAACAAAGAAATTTCAGGCTGCATCAAGTCCTATTATAGAATAGGAAATAAATACCTTTTATCGTATTCACTATAATTTATTTATCCCTAAAATGAAGTTTCCTCATACTTTTAAACAATGCTACTGAAAAAAGTGCACATTTTGGAGTTGCGTTGGTAGGCTGAAATGAAATGTTTTCCGGCCGCCCAGACGGTACAGCTGTTAGGGAAGCCTACTGTAGTACCAAAGAGCCTGGACTCAAATCCTGGGAAAGGCATGGGTGTTTTTAAATATATAGTGATCTTGCTGCATGGGAACATTCTAAATATGCGGCGAGCCGAAAGTCCTCTCGAGAGGATGGTGGTACGGAAAGAGGGGGTGGGAGACCCTCGGACCTGATTCTCCGGGGTGCTTTCCATCAAAACTTGGGGTGGAACTGAGCAAAGTCCTGCACTCACCTGTATGGTGCCCAAGACTCTTACCAACAAGCGCAATTCTGCACTCCTTGACACCATAAATTTCGATAGCTTTTTCTGATGTTACCGTCAGACAAGTGAGATAAGTCAGAGAAAGTTGTCCATACGTAAAATGATCCTTCTTAATCCACACTATACAAATAGGATGTTGAACAAATGAATGGGTGTGTAAACGTAGCATTTATCTATAATCAGTTTATGATTGATTTGATTGGTTTATTTAATTACGGCAAAGAACTCGAGGGTTATCTGCCTAAAGAGTGGGATGCTTTCGCGGAAGACATTCTAAGGGAAACTAGCTCGTAAACACGTTACACATGGGGAAAACCACGAAAAGACGAATGCCACCACCCGTTCGCCGGAAGTTGAACTTTGGACCGAACTTCCAGGGTTCGTGATATTCCGCTTCGAGCTGGTGGGTTACTCAGCACTTTGAAAGAATGAGAAAACTTTCGCACACACATACTGGAAGTTAAGCGTATATTTCAGTCTTCGAATATTTTAATATTTGAATATTACATGCGAAATAATACTTTTGACCTTCGACCGAAAATGTGTTACGGCCATAGAAAAACTGCTGCTAGCAAGCCATATGTAGATAGTAGATGTCCGATCCTTTAAATAAGATTTGAAACAAACATTGGTTTTATATTTTAGAAATTGTTATAATTTTAAATAGAAACCGTACTGCTGTGGATTTGTAAAAAGCTATCCGAATTTAAAAAAAAAATAATTTAATTACATAAATAATATCTTAATTATTTTTAAAATGCAATAACTTTAATAAAAACAATGCATTAATTTTCAAAATAATGAATAAAAGACAAACAATTCCACTTCTAAGACTTGCTACCGCTACATTAGTAACACTTTTCATTGATGATGTATTCATCATCTTCTTGTGAAAGAGGGATAATTGCAAGTTGCACTGGAAGAAACTACAAAAGACCTCCTTGGCATATTAAAAATTAAATAAATGACTTGGATTCTGTATGTGTTCTCACATTAGTTTTCCAGAAAAAAGTAATCAATAATTTTTATGGAAATTCTAGTATAATTAAAAATAATTTTCACATCTTGAATTACAGTTTCCTTGCAGCATGCTTCAGCCTAACTCAATTACGCCATCACTTACAAAGAAACGGATATGGGTTGAGCCGAAATGAAAATTGCTTTTTCCCCCACTCCCGCCGAAGAAAAGCTACTGAATACACTCGAATAAAAATATACTACTTCACTCGAATAAAAATCTTTCTGTATTATAATAGGCTAAGCTAAAACCCTACAATATGCAAACTTTTAAATTTATTCATATTAAATTTGCAACTACAATCAAAATACAGAAATTTCGAAATCAGAAGAAAATTCTTCGTTTTCGATTAGAAAAAAGGAGTGTTCAATACTTTGTGCAATTACAGGGCGAGAATAATCAAAAGAATTTATTTAAAACCGTAGAGTCACTAGAATTTTTTCAGAAGTCAGGAAACTGAAGAAATCTACAAAGCCTTCGTCGGAATTGGAACTCCGAGCCTCCAGAATACATTTCCAGTTACACCACGAAGGCATACGAAAAGGAGAGAAAATGTATCTTATAAAATTATAAAGAAACTACAGTAGTGAAAAATGCGGTAACATTGAACTCAAACAGATCTTAAGATTCAATTTTTACTTTACTACTTTTAATATGATACAATATTTAGTTTCAGTGCTCGGTTGAATATGTTTGCTTTAAAAGATTCTCTTTCCCCTGAAGAACAGAGACCTGTGTCTGATCTCTCTCAAAATCTCATAGCTTTATTGTAAATCTGCACCAAACCAAGGGGTCTGTTTTGCCTATTTTAATATGTTACACTGGATTAAATATCTTCTATTTGGTAATAGGAGGTTCTCAAGGACGTTTGTTCTGTAATCACTATTTCGTTTGCATCAATACATGGCCTGAATTATTGTAGCAAATTTAATCACGGTTTTGTAGATTCATTACCTGCACTTGGATTAGTACTACTGGTACAGTGGTTTGTTTGGCCTTGATGGTAAGCCAAATAAATCATCGTACCATAATCAGCTATAATAAGTGAGATCATAATCTATATGATCTCACTTATTATAGCATATTTAATCGCGGTTGTATAGATATATTACCTTGTAGGACATTAGGTATTTTTTGAAAGCAGGAGAGATGAAAAATGAGGAATGCCCTCGCCGGGACTCGAACCACGGACCTCTCGAAAAAGCGCCGAGTAGGCTGACCACTACACCTTGAAGGCATGCCAAGAAGGTGGGAGAAATACCTTATAACCTTCACTTGAATGAATAATACTGGTGCAATGATTTACTTAGCCTCGAACACAAATAAACCCCTGCACCATTATCAAGCTGAAAATCTTTTTGCAAATTTTAATTCAAATTATAAGAAAAGGTAATTTTTAAGAAGGGTAGAATTTTACTGTGCTCAACTTCGAGTCAGTAAGAAGTAGTTTGTTTAATTATGAAATAATCGGCCCACCAGCGGCGGAGCGGTAAAGTCGCTGAACACTGGTAGTTCGGTCCGAGGTTCGAATCCCGCGAACGGGCTGGCTGCATGGGCGTTTTCGTGGTTTTCCCCATGTGTAACGTGTATACGAGCCAGTTTCCCTTAGACAGTCCTCCACGAAGGCATCCCTCCCCGTAGGCAGATAGCCCTCGAGGCTTTGTCATAATCACACACACACAATTATGAAATAATCATGCATTTGAAATTAAAAATGCATTCAATATAATATACTGGGCGCGTATATCTTTATAGTTTACTTACAAATACAACACACATGTGCAAAAGAATCTTTGAGTAGTGTACTGAAATTTCAGATATGTAAATTTCTTAACTATTACGCAGCATCGTTGATTAAACAGTTGAAACAAGGAAATATGAAAACTGAAGAGATAATGAATTTAGCAATCAAATAATATAATGTAGCACAGATTACGTATGGAAACTAAAATCAATGCTTGCATAAATAATCATTATAGCGAAGACATGATGTAACTCTCTCTCCTAAAGTAAATATTCTGTCAATGCCGAAGGCTTGCATTTAGTGGAGCCTAAAAATTGCTGTCTGTGTAAATATCAATTCATATCAAATAATCTACAATAATGATAATCAGCAGTTTTGTGAAATATTTAAGGAGGCTGAAGCTGACAATCCTGTTTCCAGTATTTCCCAATTTCTTCCATGACTTTGGTTTCTAAGTCCTTGCTCTTTGTTAACATTGTCATCATTTTCATTGTAAATCTTGAATGTAATTTGTAGAAAACTACATTTAGAGATTTTAAGAAGCAATTCAAAAATTAAAATCAAGACTCCTGTATAATTACAAAAGTAAAAATGTATTCGAAATAAAATTAATACGGGAAAATAGACAAAATATGTTTTAAACCTGATAGTCGGTTTAGATATACTTAGCAATTTGAAAACAACACAGATTAAACCACAGAAGAATTCGTTCAGAGTTATATTTAATTTAAACTATTGGACAAGAAGCTAGTATAGTTTACTGTAAAGAGCAAGTACATTATCGTAGTGGTTATCAACTGTCCATACAACTGAAGCTTATGCGCATACACACGCAAAATTTTCGTCCTTAATGTATTTTTAAATACATTTGCAGAAATTAATTATCTTCAAAACCTGTTTGTCTTTCGTTTGCACTGGAGAAACTGAAATCAATAAAGCTCCATTGCTTTTGCGCTAGGTGGTGTAAAGCATCATTCCGTTTAATCAATTTTTTCTAAGTTCTGAAGACCGACAGAATTTCACATTTAATTGTTTTTATGCTGGATAAAATATTTTTGCAATCAAAATGAATGATCAAAATGAAATCAAAATGAACTAGTATGAAATTTAATGAATGGGAGAGCAGGAAATAAAGTGAAAGCAATAATAAAACTATAGTATGAAACTATTTCATGAAATAGTATGAAATAATGTAACAGTATGAAATGTAATGAAAAACTCATAAAACTATATGATGTTAATCTTTTGATGAAATTCTAACTTGCAAAATGGTAGCGGCGTCTTTACGTCGAGGAGCAATTAGGACAAGTCATCAAGGTACGCACATCTTACTTTTCATTTTTCAAATTGTTGCTATTAAATTTTAATGTCCTCTGTTATTTTTAAAGAAATTTGTACACTTTATTTATGTTAATTAATCACTTATTTTATGTTCTGAATCTGACTTGTCTCTTTTAGTTTCCTGTCAGCATGCAAATTAGCTCACACGTGAAGGTTCGAGATTGTTTTGACAGAGCGTATTCTGCCTGCCGAAGGCCACGTTATTAATTAATTATTTTAAGATACACATTCTTGTCTTAGACGCTGCTTTATTCTTGCCGATAATGCTTTCACGCAGGTGTAAGCTTCGGAGCCAACTTCCGCATTTAAATTACTCTGAGTAGCCTTTGGTAAATACATACATAAATTTAGTTTAAATTTAAAATTCTATCTTGAGTTCACATCATACATGATGGCTTATTTATGAGCACCAGATGTGCCTTCTGTACAATTTATTTAGGTTTAAATAAAAGGGTCTTTTACAGTTTTCTTACATTTCTGTTCCATATTAGACAAGTTCACTTATAGTCTCAGTAAGGATTTGCCAGAAGGTACATTTAGTGAAAAGCATCTTCTGTACAGATTAAATAATGAAGAATCTGCATATATATATATATATATATATAATTTATTTCCTAAACAGTATTATCTCCTAAGTTTAATTAAAGTAGAATTATTTTAAAAGTGTGAATCCATACTGGTAAGTTATATTTTGAAAGATGTTTTGAAGTAATTTGAAAGCAAAATGTTAATAATGTTTTAACGGGGACTGGAGTTAAATCATCACGAAGAATAAAATTTCAATTGTAAAAGGAAAAATTAAAACATGTAATCATTGTCATTGATCGGAAATTAGTTGACTTTTTAAGGGGAACAATAAAAATACGTAAATACGAAAGCGTTTCGTCTTTACTCGAGTTATAAGTTAAAGCCAAACCGGCAATTCTAGTCAGGCCAAATATTTCCATGAATAGAAGGAATTATGAACCAATGCTTATACTCAAAGAACTTATTCTTATGAAGCATTTTAGTTTATTCAATTTGGAGTAAAAAATGTGGGATGGCATCGTTCATTATAATCGGATGACGCGGCAAGCTGTGAGAATAAATCTTTTACTTTTGCGATGATAGAAATCAGACGATTCCGCCATTAAGACGATGATGGGACTGAAAGATGTTTATATGTAAAAGACGGTCGATTCTCTTCATCTGTAAATATCATCTATGTAAATTCATCCTTCTAGTCATGTAGTATCATTTTGTAGTTTGTAGCAACTATTCATGTTTCATTAAATTATAGAGTTTTCCATAAATCGGACTAGTTTATTAGCCCCTAGACAGCCAACTAAGAAGTAAGTTTATAGACATCATATTCCTAGACAGTAAGTATCGATTCTACACACACACACACCCACACACACACCCACACACACACACACACACACACACATATATATATATATATACACGTATGTTGCATGGTGAAAATTGAAGGTACTTAGAGCCATCAAAGTTTGAAAAATATAATCCTCCAACCGAACATGGGCACTGAAAGCCTGAATTTTGAATTTCTAATTTTATATTTCGTATTCTGTAAAATGTTAATACATTTTTGACTAAAAAACTCTATTTGAAAGCAACAATGATTTGAAAGCAACACTGAACGGAGTAAAACATTATCTCCTGCGGGCAAGACTGTCTATCGAAAATTCTAATGATACTCTGTTTTTAGATATTGTTATTTTGCTACTGAATTCAATTTTATGCCACGTAAGTGGAAAGAACGTGACATTTAGTTAATAAAGTTAAGCTAAAACTAAACTCAGTGGCGCAACAGCGCTAGTGGGCAAGCAGCCCTAGTGGGCCAAGGTCTAAGGCCAGCAGTGCTCTGAAATCTGCTTTCTTGACCGTGGGCCCCGGGGGCATATAAGCGTTCTGCACTGCGCCACGCGCATAGAGTAAAATCCATACTTATGATTGGACATACTTTCCAATGGCATTATTTTCTCTTAGCGTAAATGGCTTAGCGATTCTTACTTTTTTTTTTGAATGACGCACATGAGTGACACCGAAGCGTGAAAATTAGTTTGCTTTCTTTGAAAAGAAAACATTTAGCTGCAACTTTCTGCACATGGCTTCCTGTTTCATGGAATAATAAAATTATAAAAGTCTTTCAAAGATGCTGTTAATACCATAAGCAATCTTAAGCGCTTAGATATATAAATAGAGTTCATGAATTTAATGCAAAAGTCAAACCACGACGATCTCGATCCAACTGTAAAGGCATTGTGTGCTAGTAAGTATATTATTACTGCAATTATTACATTCTGTTCCTTTCACATTGCAGAAAATATTTCCTTTGCAAAAGGGTATGTTATTTCCATGTTAATATCCATAACTTTCAAATTTCTAATATTCTGTTGCCTTAAATGAAATAAAAAAGCGCATTCAGTATTGTGGCTGAATTTAAAACAGGTGTATAATAAACTCCTTTCTCTGGCAAACACTACTTTTATGCAAAGGTATAAAAGATGTTACACATTAAAAATGGGCAATTAAGTAATATTATTCCATTTAAAATACGTATCTATTTCTCTATCCCAAATCTATATTAGTTCAATTTCAAAGTAAATTTTACATTTTCAGAACGTTATAAATAATATGAATTTACTGTCTAATCACCCAATATCGTTTTTGCTATTCCCGAAAACTGACTTCTATCATGCTTTCGGAGATGCATCTGTACAGAATGTATAATATACGTGGAATAATTGATTAATAATTACAACACCTTTAATATAAACGATTTTAAAGTAAGAACGCATTTATTAACATTCTCTGCAATTAATACACATTTATGGAACTAACGCATGAAGAAATAATACTGCCTCTCTAGGCACAAAAAAAAACCTACATTTTTATATTAAATTCACCACACTACAGAGTTGCAAGAAGTGTGATGTCATAACCACAAAAATACAATACACGTG